TTTATAACTTGGGCTAGACAAGGTTCTTTATGAAGAGAGTGAAATGTTCCCAATTTCACTCCTCACCCTTCTTGGGTGCACCACTCTCATCAGAGAAGAAGGTGTTTTCACGCTGAGATCTTTCTGTTTAGGAAAAAGAATAGGTCTCTGAAACTAGAAACAAACCTGTTTTCGGATTTTCACCATCTAGGCATGTCATTGTCTGTGACATTGAAGGTTGTTTTAAAAGGCAGCTTGGATTGCTACCCATTCTTCCAAAATAGAGGAAGGGAAAACCCTACTTTTCCTAAAGGCCTTGGTGTCTCAAAGCAAGGGCATCAGTTTGAAGTATTTCAAAATATAAATAAGGAAACAAAAAACCTGGCAGAACTCTGTGGTTGGTGAGATCTGTCCATGACGCATATGCTAACATAATCATTGGCATCCTTTCTATGTACTAGCCAAAATCTTCTTACAATCAGCTTATACTTAAACCTCAACTCATTCAGAGCATACTGAAAATATCCTCAAATTTTGATCCTCATGATCTAATATTGATTTTTTCCAAGTACGAAATAATCTATTTCGCAATGTTCTATAAAATAATTAGTGAAGTTGTCTTGCAAAATAGCTAATTTTATTTGTCTGTCTATAAAATGGAAACCTACATTTTGTTTTATGAGAATTCACATTTAATTTGAAATGTTTGTTATTAGGATTTTAATTTTTTAAAACCTGTATCCTTTTCAAGAAAAAAAGTAAGGATTTGGCATCAAATGATGTGGAAAATACAATGCCTTTGACTGTTTAAAGAGACTGAAATTGTATTAGTAGGCTTTTAATCATTTCAAACAATAAAGAGGGTATCTTCTATTCATTTTCAATAGGACAAGGCAGTATTAAAACAAGACCATTCTATCAGAGAAGCTTGATTATTTCCTCAGTGTTTTAAATTATGCATATGATTGGTGACACAAATACATGTTTAAGTGGTTGCAAATTTAAAAAATCAATATTCCCAAAGAACTAAAATTATGCCCAATCATAAATAACAAATTAATTCACCTGCATATTTTGATCTACAACTTACCCTATGAGCACGAACATTTTATAAGAGAGAAATCTCTTTCCACATCAACTTGTGTTCATTATATTCATACAAATATAGTTCAAATCAAACACAAGCCTTTTCAAAGAGAAAGAAAAAAAAAAACACCATTAGAGCTGTTCACTGTTCCCTTCTTTCCCAGATGATCTGGTGTGAGATGCGGACCGCCATGTTGCACCGAACCCACAGCAACCAGGACCCATTGTTCCCAAGGGAAACGTAGCCTATGCGGGAATGTAGTGGTGTGCCCTGCAAGGGACGTGGAAAATAGCACATGTCACTGCTGCACAGCACACAACAGACAATTATGATTCAACTGTCCAAATTATAATCAGGTTGACAAATGTCCACAAGCGTCTTCATTCTATTTTATATTTTCCCTAAGACAAGGCAATCACACAACCAGACAATTCCATCAGGGAAGCTTGTTAGCTGCTTAGTCTGTTAAACCCTGGTTGCCATAGCATCTAGAGTTGAAAAAGCTGCAGATTGGCATGAAAAAGCATGTCGACAATTGCCCTGTCACAGCATGCAAGCCAGGTCTGCTCAAAGGCAGCACACTACAAGTTTTCTTTCCCAGTTTGCACTACCCCATGCTGTTTAATAATATCCATTTACTGGTATTGGGATTGATCTAGCACAGTGTAAAATTCACATCCAGTGAGACTTTGCTTTTCACGTGGAGTGAAATTCTTTAACAAATGGGACTATGGCAATTAATTTAGAAATGTAATACTGTATATACTATAAGAAGTATATTTAGATTTAATAGAGAAAGTGTCCAAAATTTTAATGCACAGTTCTTTAAAGAGCCAAACAGTTTTACTTGGCAATTTTTCAGTTGACTTTCTAGTCATTTCTTAAGCCTAGTTAGTCATACTTTGGGGATGACAGACAGCATGCAAAATTCAGTGGTACATTTTTAAACATGTTTTAATAGTGCCATAGTCATTTCTTCTTTAAGCGCATGGTATAATTTAATTAAAGATATAGATTTCTAAAATAACTGTAATTTAATTAAAGATTAATATCATGAACACTGAAATTATAGTCTAGAGAGCAATGTGCATCAATTTTTTTTTCCAGAGGGATCATATACTTAATGGTGATAAATTACCATGTATTAAGAAGAAAAAGTGGGTCTGTACCAAAGGGTATTCAAACCCTTGCCAACTCTCAGATTCGTACAGTGCGTGGACTTTAAATAAAGTAAAGCATGTTTACAAACAGCCATTTGTTAGCTTATTGGAACTACAAAAATGTGAAAATATCTACAGAAACTGTGAGACTTAGAAAATAATTTTCGCTCAGAAGTTTATACTTGCATCATTCAGTCTGTCCATTATCTCCTGCTCTTCTGTCACTTCAATGTAGTTTTCCTTCAATGCCACCAGGAAAGAAAAATCTTAAAATACATACTCAAGGGCACAATCAACCTAGCATACCGATGTGTGTAGCAAATACAAGTATTGTTCTATATTTTCTAAAACACTTGCTCTTTCTACTGGTACCCATTGCTTTATTCTCCCAATGTCACAAAATCATGATTATTTAAGTAGAAATGATCTCTGCTTTTGATACTGACTTGTGAAACAAGTTGACCACTTCCCACAATACGAAAAAAGTAAGTTAATGTTTACCTTACAGTGACGATACTGAAATAATGATTATTTTTCATACTCCTGAAACCCTGATGGCCTCTTTTTTTTCCTAAGCAAGATTACCAAAGATTTTAAATAGAATAATCAAAATATGACACCTTGAGTTTTATATATACATATAAATCAGTATGAGTCAGTATAAGTCATACACAAAAATCAGTATGAAAATAGTGTCACTGAGTGAGCCTCTTCAGACTATAAATTTAAATCTCTCATTTTCTAGGAATTCTCAAAAATCTGAAAATCTTGGGATGGAACTTGGTTCACATATGGTGTCCATGAATGTGTTTTCTTATACCACATCTTCCAGTTAAAAAAAAAAAAAAAAGAGAAAAGCTGTTTACTTGTTAAAGGTCTTTTTATAAGCTTTGATGACTCAAAAACACCTTCATTTTAACACATGGGATTTGGCAAAGAACTTAACCATGTTACCATTTGAAAGACTTTGATATTTTGAAAAAGAGAGAATTAAAAACAACAGAGATTGAAACTTAAGTTGGCTTTTGTGTATGGAACATAATTTTCTCGAGTATATTTTTCAGTATAAGGATTTACTACTGAAATTTATCTTCCAGGATACCATAACATATCAAAGCTATAGGTTTCCTGAATGAACAATAGTAAGGGGAGCCATAAATTCTACCCTAGTTTATCTATTTGAAAAAGAAAAAACATCTTGCAATAGCATCACAATACTCTAAATAGATAAATGTGTATGCCAAGTAAAAAGCATAACAAGAGGTTGAAACAAAATTTCTTCTATGACACTCTCTCAGAAAGATTGTATTTAAACTTTGTTTGTTTCTCATTTCCTTACTTTACATGCGATACGATACAGCGTGTACTTCTTCAAGTTGGATTAAAGTAGGTACCACCTCTTACGCAGTCTTTGGGATAAGCATATTTTCCTACAGTCTTCAAAGTATTTGGTTTGCAGAGCCCAAGAATTGGATAACATGGAAATGAAAGTTTATGCTTTAACCCAGGGTACCTTTGCTTTCGTCAGGATACCTTAGTTCTTCCCTGTAACCCTAATGCTGCCTTTATGACGTACAAACAACTGTTGGTCTTTCCAACTATGTTGTGTTAAGATTATCTATTCCCAACACATTAAGAAAATTAATTATGTATGAACTGAATCCCCTGTTTATGCCTGATTTATTTCATGTTTATTCTTCTACTCTAAAATTGGAAATTAAGTGATTCTTTTTGAATTGCTTAGAATATTTTCATCGGAGATCATTGCTACTTTGGACAACCTCTACAAAGAATCCACCTTTCAGTCATTTCTATTGTTGTCGAATTGAAAATTACACAAGAAAACATTGATTAAAACCTACTATTTCATAAAAAGAAAAACCAAATATTTGACTTGTAGCTAATAGGTGGTATCTTGCAATGGCATTAGGTCTTTTCGTAACACAAAGGGTAAATGTCATAATATAGATGCCACACTGCTTTATTTCACAAAATAAATATGTCCTCTTTATTCCTCAAGTGAAATACTACTTGACACAAAATGTAGGTTTCATATAAGCACACACATTCTTGTGTTAGGTAGTTCTTGTTTTTCTGAGTGATTTTGCCTTATTCTGAAATTTTCTTCACCTGACTGAAAGCACATTAACTGCTAGATAGGCATCACACTGATGTCTCCATGCTGTAGCATACAGCCGTGAATTTGCTACGATCTGTTTAATCAGCAGTGTATTGATTTTCCGCAGCTTTCCTTCATTTTAGCCCCATAGCAGGCTTCTGTAATTTCCTTTGGACAAAGTGTAACCAAACTGTGCTAAGTGATGTTGATTTGCAGGCAAAAGTAAAGGGGTAAATATAAATTAACAAGCTATAAACATTTTACAAGTGGGGAGTCAATAAAAACAGTGTCTGCAGTTTCTTTTAAAAAAATGATTTGAAGCAGATTGTTAACAAACGTGTCCAAAGAAACTGACATGAGTCTGAGAATAATTTTTGCGCTTTGTGATTAAGAATTGATCAGTCTAAAAGCCTCGGATGCAACTGAATCACCCATAAGCTGCTGGCCTGAAAAGGCTCAGCAGGGGCTGGTATTTGTTTGTTAAACTCCCATGATTCCAAGTAGATAATTGGTCTGTGAAGTTCATGGCAGAATCTGAATTTGCTTTCTTGCTTCCCAGCTGGCTGAGCACTGGTTTATAGACTTCTGTGTACAAATTTAGCCAGCAGCAAACCTCACATCTTTAATATAAAAGGTGTTTTGTTGTGTTTTTCAGGTGCTGAGTGGAAAGCCCACACTCCAGAAGCTCATTAAAAGGGCCAAGTTACAGTACAGGTTTATTTCTGTCACAGCGTTTCTGAAAACAGTGACAAGGATTAATATGTTTCTTTAGTACTGGAAAAAGCCTGACACAATCCCTTGTGAATTTGATCATCTGTTTCATTGCCTGTATAAGATTCAATCTCTTATTATATCCTGAAGTTACAGCTGTAAACTAATGCTGGTAAGAATTCATAAGCTATTGCAGAAGCCTGGGGCAAAACTAATTGTTTTATTCAGCAGTCACTTATTTATTTATTATTTATTTCATACCCCTCTGTCTCATCTTTTCTACTCTTCCTCTTCAAAGTCAAAATTGTCTTGGCTCTTTGTCTGAAAGTACAGAGCAAATATAGAGACATGGGGAATTCATGTTTCCGGGAGCTTTCAAAAAAGTTGTTACAGGTCGGTGGATCATGAAAATAAGGTCCACTCTAAATCTTTTATAAAACTATTCTTGCTTTCCTTTCCTTGACATGGAGATTCTTTATTAAAAAGCATTATCTGCACAAACATTAGAACCTTTGTGTTCTATGTAATCATGTGACATTAGGCTTTCTCCGCTAGTGGTTGCTATGTTTCTAGGACATGATTTGACATGTGGTACATGCAAATCCTAGTAAAGTGTAAACTATATCATAAAATGATACCATTTTGCATCACATTCAACAGGCAAATAGCTATTTGCTGTTTTAAAAAATTAAAAGTTGTAACAATATGCTGTATGGATTCCATAAAACAAATCATCATTTAAACTAAGGAATCGCTCTCTTCTTCTCTTTCTCAAGTTAGTTGTAGATGAATATTCATTTCTTAACTACCTACCAGTTTTTGTCATTATGGCAAATTTTATGCTATATTAGAATTTTAGATACAAAAATATATGTTCAAAATTTCAAACATTGTGCAAGTATGAAATAATCCATTTGTGTTCACTTTATGAGAGTTGGTGGAAATTATTACAAGATTAGGTACAAGCAGTATGTTCAGGCAATGTCTGAAATTAGATCATAAGCTTCCCTCGTTCTTAACAGAAGTTGTGTGCCTAATTCCCTATGCACTACAGACATTTTAACCCACAATAACTGATTGTAAATACAGTATGAAACTAGCTACAGCCTTATTTACACCTGCCAATTTGCTGCCCTCCAGCACTAAAAACAAAAACAAAATGGTAGCAAAAGAACTGCCAAGCAAAACACACTCTGCCCCTCATGTACATTCCTTTCTATTTCCGCAAACAGAACCTTTTGCTTCTTGGTTTTCATAAACAAATTCAATTGGGGAATTTAAAATAAAGTTACAGAACAAGGCATTTGCATGACATGGCAATAACAAAATAATTTTTAAAATGGCCAGCTCTTCCAAATGTGTGTCCCCTTAAAATAATGTAAATGCTGTAAGTGCTTCATGGCACTTTTAATTAAGAATAACGCATGGGAAAAGAAAATAAGGAAATCACACATGTGCCACTCAATGTATATGTCGCAATGGCAGCCACCTATTTTTACTCAATAACTACAAGATTTACACTCAGTTTTGTTCATATAATAGAACTCCATGTTATTCATTAGAAAGAATGTATCACAGATATTTGGTTGATACGGTTGCATTCCCTGTTGCTTTTTTGTGCTTCCCTGTCATATCTCATTTACATAATGGCAGCCCAATTATTTCCATTTCTATTTTTTCGGAAACTTAAAGCGTTTGTCAACATTTTTGTGAAGATTCCCTACAAACTTGATTCAACGAAAATAACTACTGCTAAATGCTAGACAGTAGCTTACCCTTCCATTGTGGATAGCAATGATTTGCATCATTGCATATATTACTTGACTTGCATGTATTAAAATAGTAAATAAGGCATACAATAATATTGCATACATAATGATATGAATAATTTGTGTATCAATATTCTCTTTTTCCTGTGAGTCGATTCATGTTATTTGATGTTGAACTCTATCCTTAAACATTCAATACATTGATTAACTTTTTTAAGGATGTTGAGGACAAATATTATGTTTATTACATGCAAGAAAATTGAGGATTACTTTTTAGACAAATAATTGATGACTAAGCCAAAGTTAGAACTCAATACTCTTTAGACGAGATCTTAACGTTTCATTTTAAAAGAGTATTCTTTACAGGGCTTGTAAACACATATGTGGGGATCTATGTTTGATTGGCTAGATCGTGGGATCCTGAAAACAAGATAAATGTTTCATTTAACCTTTAACCAACATTAAACATGTTTTTGGTATTCAGTAAATATTCATTAAATTAAATAAACGGACACTTTCAGTATATAAATTGCCAATATATGGTATAACAACATACCAATTCTTGTCATTTATGGTAATGATATTTATTGGTTTTTCAGGTCAGTATACTGCAATTACAAATTGTTGCACATGGGGGTACCTGGGTGGCTCAGTCAGTTAAGTGTCCAACTCTTGATTTCAGCTCAAGTCATGATGTCACAGTTGGTAATATCGAGCCCCTCTTTGGGCACTGCGCTGACTACACAGAGCCTGCTTGGAATTCTCTCTCTTCCTCTCTCTCTCTCTTCCCCTCCCCCACTAGCATTCACACTCTCACTCTCTCGCTCCCTCAAAATAATTTTTTTCATTTTAAAAATCTTAAAAAAAACACAAATTGTTGCACATGGTATATTTATTGTGCCTTTTAATGGGAAATGAGGTGAATAGGAATAAAAAACAAAACAAAACCTTAGCCGGCATTGGATGCCAGATATTTGGATGTTGCATGCTGCTGTTCTTAAAAAGAGATTTGAGGGGCGCCTGGGTGGCGCAGTCCGTTAAGCGTCCGACTTCAGCCAGGTCACGATCTCGCGGTCCGTGAGTTCGAGCCCCGCGTCAGGCTCTGGGCTGATGGCTCAGAGCCTGGAGCCTGTTTCCGATTCTGTGTCTCCCTCTCTCTCTGCCCCTCCCCCATTCATGCTCTGTCTCTCTCTGTCCCAAAAATAAATAAACATTGAAAAAAAAAATTTAAAAAAAAAAAAAAAGAGATTTGATATTTTAGGAGAGAAAAAAAGGTAAAATCCCAAGAATTGCCTTTTTCTTTTTTGGTAAGCCTATGAAGGATAGAATTCTATGAAACATTAGGAAACATGAAAATAAATATAAGAAGAATGCTATAAAAGGCATGATTGCTATAAATTTATGGGAGAGTACTAATCAACTCATGTCATTCAGAAATTGCCTAAAATATAAAGTTTCAATTCTGTGACTGATTTGAGTAAGCAAATAGCATGCCCTTATATTTACCATGGAAATCTATACTAAGAAATAGACTAAGATATAATTTGTTAAAACAAACTTTGAAACTAATTATATGTAGCATTAGTTAAAAATAACCAAATATTTCAAATTTCTAGGAACTCATTAATAGATTAAAAAAAAATTCACACTGAAACTAGGAGAAAGTCCACACATGGCTACTTTGGTCTCTTCTTAGATTCAGAATCTGTTTTTACCAATGTCTGTTCTCATCTTAAATCCTAGAGTGGTCAGGCATTGAATTAAGCTATATAGGTATATGGTAGAAATCTGAGGCGTATTTCTAAGGACAGAATGTACGCCTACAATGCCAATCAGACACTTTAAAAGTACTGTTTATTTAGGATGATTAATGACTATCTAATGTCTTGTTGACTTTTCTTTGCAGTTAAGTGGTCATCTCAAGTTTATTTTGGTAAGAAGGCACTGTTCTGGGAAGTGAATTCAAATCTTTAGTTCTCATCTATTTAACCTTTAGATTTTCGTTAAGTGGAAATTATGTTTTGTTCCCTCAATTTCCTTTTTTCTGCATTATACTGCACCTTTTTTCTTTAAAAATGTTCAAAGCAGTGAATTAGATGTATCCTGTAATGTGCTGAAATTTGTAGCTGCCCTTAGTTCAAGTGACTTCAGAAAATTGAAGTAAGTTAATGATCAATTGTCTGTGAATAAAGAGTATTACAGACCATAATGTATTTGTGATCATACTGAGCAAAGTGAATGATTTGTGCCTTTTCAGCTTATTCTCATTCATTCACTAATGTTTTCAAAAATGATTTTATTCCTGAATATCAAACACATAATTCTATTTAGTTGTTTTAGTCTTCATGCAAAGAATATACCTTCCAATTAATATAGGTGTCATCAGTGTGGGTGATGTATCCTACAGAATTTTATAACAAACTAATGAGAATAATAAATATTTACATAGGGTATACATATATTTATCTGATTCAAAGCATAATAATACCATAGTTGTCACTTAGAATGAAATTAATTCTTAATTCCCAAGTCATATTGAGCTAGTTGTTTGTAAATTTTAATTATGGTATCTGATTCTAGAAGTATCTGATTCTTTTTATAGGAAGCTATTCCTTTGGATGGGGACAGATTTATATTACCTGGGAGGAGATTGGCCCAAGTGAATTTCCAGTTTAGTCAACACTTTTTATTAGGTTCTGTATAACAGAACACAAATCAGATTTTATATGGGAATAGTCCAAATGGGAAGGGAGAGTACAAGATTCCTGTCCACAGAGCACTTTAGTATATATTGGAAAACCAGGACATACATTGAGAAGGCTTGGGTATACACTTTTATTAGCCAAAGTTGCATATGTACCAAGAAAATTCCAAGTGGAGGTGTAATCATAATCAGGTGGGATTAATCATGAAAACCTTTTCAGAGAAAATTAGTTTTAAGCCAGACTTTTAAGTAATTGAGAATTATTTAATAGAAAGAAGAGGGACTAAATAAGCTCACCAGAAGGGAATTAAATGTCATTCAACACATATTGAATGCCTTCTGTGTGCAAGGCACTATACACAGTACAGAACTTTGTTGATATGCAAAGGATTCCAACCCTGTGCCTGCCCTTATGAGGTCTCCATCCAACGTTGGCTACATAGATGCAAACAACAATGGCACGTGCTGAGACTCAGGAACAGACACAAACATAAAATGTGCAGCGAATAGAAAGACTTGTTTTCCTACAGTAAAGATTCCACACAGAAGAATAAAAGTTTGTTTATGAGAAGAGCTGGAGGAGATCATCAGGTGGCAGGTGATCTTGAAGGCATATGTATCAGCTAGAAAGAGTTACAGTCCTGAGAGCTATGAATCAGAAACTCCAAAACATCATTGATGTATCAGGTCTTCCTTCTTTCTACTCCATGATTTGTAATCTGAAACTCTAGAACTCATAATCACAATGTATCTTCAGCCAAAGCTATTGGGACTATATTCCAAGCCAAAAATAACAGAAATAATTGGTTGGGCCATTTTCCCTGTCCCTTTGGAGGAACTTTTATGAAAGACTCACCCTATGACTTCCATTTATACCTTTTTGAACCATACTGTGCTCCTAACTATAAGAAAGTCCACTCATGTAGTTTTTTACTAATCACACCACCGCACACAACTAGTCAGATATCAATAAAGAAGGTGAGAATGATTATGGCATAGGCGATCAGTAGTCCTAACAAGAGTGAGGTTGAGACATTCTTGTTTGGAAAGCCCTGAACACGAGGAGGAAAGTGCTGAGGAAGTATTGTGGAAACAAATGACAGAGATTGTGTTAACAATTATATGTAAAATGAGTGTTTATTTAAAAAAAAAAAGAAATAGACACCTTATTCTAGGCTATTGAATTAAAGAGCTGAGGTATCTTCAATTCAAATAGTTTAAATAGACTTTGGAAATGGTAAACATAAGGGATTATCTGAGCAAATAATCCTGAACATTTGTTAATAAAAAATATGAGTCAAAGGATTATGGGGGGGGTGTGCATGAGGGAGAAAGAGAGAGAAAGAGAGACTAGATTTGCATTGAGTTAGCAATTATTTAGCTGTTCAAATTCCAAAGACTGTGGTGCAATTGTAAAAAATGAAGAAATTTCAAATCTTTGAAACAGGATGCCGGCAAAGTTGCTTGTGAGGGAAAGACATGTGGATGGTAGTTTCTTCTTTTTTATATATAATAAGTTTTGTAACAGAGATTAGAATGGGTACATCTCCTCTAAGTCTACAAAGATAGATGCAGAAGTGGAAACATAGTAGGCCTGGATTTCCCTCTAGTGTGAGCACATGTGCTTGTTCACACACACACACACACACACACACACGCACACTTCCCTGTCTTAGTTAACTGGCATTTCATTCACCCATACTGAAAATGTAACTGTCATCTTTCCTTCCACTTCTCACCACTTGTACCTGTAAGCATTACATCCAAAATATTTCTTTAATTGGGCCATTTTTACCATCTTCATTACTACCATCCTAGTTTAAACTTCCATTCTCTTACTAGGGTTACTACATAGTAGGGTTTTTTTTTAATTTTTTTAACATTTTATTTTATGAGAAACAGCATGAGCAGGAGAGGGGCAGAGAGAGAGGGAGACACAGAATCCAGAAAGGCTCCAGGTTCTAAGCTGTCAGCACAGAGCCCACCATGGGGCTCAAATCCACAAACACGAGATCATGACCTGAGCTAAAGTCAGACGCTCAACTGACTGAGCCACCCAGTACTTTTTTTCAAGTATAATTAACATACAGTGTTATGTTAGTTTCAGGTGTGCAATATGATTCAACAATTCTGTACATTACTCAGTGCTCATCAGGTTAATGTACTCCTTAATCCCCATCACCCATCCTCCCCCAGCCACCTCCCCTCCTGGCAACCCATGGTTTGTTTTCTGTCTGTATTTAAGAGTCTGTGTTTTACCTGATCACCCTGAACTTTCATGTCGCACAATGTATCTCTTCCTGAAAACCAGAGTGATCTTTCAAAGAGTAACACCAGATTATGCCACTCACATGCTTAAAACTTTTCAATGGTTTTTTTGTTTTTTGTTTTTTTTGTTTTTTTTTTTTTTGG